TAAGCTTTATATAAATGCTTTCCATATTTTTGTGCGATTTGCATTTTGCTTAAAATTGTTTGTATAAATTATCCACATTGACCTTAATCTAGTTGGTTTTCACTGATGTATATGTTTTTGATGACTTCACCACAATTAATTTAACCATTCTCCCATTCAAGAACATTTAGATTGTTTTTGGTATTTGTGCTTTAACAGACACACTGCTATGAATATTCTCACTTTCATATGTGAGAATTCTCACTTTCATATGCGAGTCAAAGTTGACTCTACAGTCTTAGATTGTACTCAGAGTGTACTCAAAGTGAGGTCCCAAGACCAGCCACATCAGCATTGGCTGAGAGCTTTCTAGAAATGCAGAATCTCGAGTCCCACAACAGACCTACTGAATTAAATCTTCATTTTAATACGATACTTCCAGGAGATTTATGGGCACAAAACAAATATAAGAAAAATTGGGCTAGCAGAAGCAGTACTTCTCAAATTATTTATGATGAATCAGTTCTGTTTTGGTTTTTACATTTTCAACCTGTTACACATGGATGTTTTGTATCAAAGAAGACTTTGCCTCATTCAATTATGTACTAACTATGCATGTATGGAGCAATCTGAAAGGCTGGAATAGAAAAAGTAATCGAGTTCAAGACCACCAAGCTAAAACTGAACTACTTGGGAGCTCTGATCCACAAAAACCATGGATTATTGAAGACCCTGCCATGGGAACGACTCCGACTCTGAGACTGTGCATCTGGCAGTGTATTAGATGCTGCTGCCCCCACTCATGGCTGAAGACCAGCACTGGTCTGACGACCCCCCAGTGAGGCTCAGCATTTCTCAGGCCCAAGGTGAATGTGAAATCACATTCCATAGCTCAAGGCCACAGGTGTTTCTCCTGTTGACTTACTGCTTCTTACCTTAAAAAGATAGTTGTAGATAGAAATCAATTGCCGTGTTGGGCAGAAAAATAAATAAAAATCTTTGATGCAGACAGTTTCTGGAGTACATTATTAAGTATTCTCCGACCAGCTGAACCTCCCACTTTGCCCCAATTACAAAAATAGTGGACCAAACAAAATAGTAGACCAGCACAATAGAACATAATGAAGTAAGTAAAAGCTTGTCAAGGCTCAGGTCAACCTCTGAGCTCATTGACACAATCTATGCTACCTCTTCAGGAAGTTTATGTAGATAATTTGATGAAGAACAAATGCCTTCTATTTACCTATATTACTTCTCATCTTTTTACATTAGGGCCTTTTATTGAATAAGAATAGTTATGTGAATAGCCCCATCCACGGGAGCTCACAATCTAGATTAGAAGTGTTTTAATTCATACACCCGTAACCCGTAGTACACACTTGTCTATTAAAAGGACAGAAAAGAGAGAAAGACTTAGTGGATTGATCATTAGCACCTTTAATACTTCTTAAATTTCGTATGCTTATTTTATTTCATAAGGAAATCGGCTTATTTGTTCCCACATGAACCACCGTACCTCTGAAATTTTAATATATCCAGAAAGAAGGACACTGCATGCTGGCTTATTTTACGATTAGTTTGAGGAATGGGTCTGTTTTCATATGCACACATACACCAAATGTAAATGCATGTTGGCTTAGGTGGGAAAAAAATCACTCTAAAGGTCGAAAAAGGAATTATATTATGTTGAAGTGCTTGAATATTAATATGTCAGTAAGTTAATAAGTATTCTTTCATCAGTGTTTAATAAGTTTATAGGAAAATATGGGCAACTTCTGTGCCCTTTGAGATAACTAATCTCAAATGCATATAAATATACTTCAGAAAAGAGTGTTTCCAAATAAACTGGGGAGTTATAAGACTGAAATTTTAAAAAATGGGGTGGGGGTTACTTGGGGGAGATGATAATGCTGGGAGGCGCAGAGGCCTGGGAGAGCTGACGTTCCTTGTACACACTGATGAGAATGGGTGCAGGAGGCTGTTTTAGCCTCACTTCAAAGATATGAAAGCTAAGGCTATCCCAGATTCAGTTTTACCATGCAGCGAGGCAAATAATGGTTTGCGATGTAACGCTTACATTCTGTGATCAGCTACATAGATGGAATAACGTGTGTGTACAAAGCATTAGGTAAGGATCTTGAATAAAATCCCATCGATGTTTTTCCTATGCTTAAAAAATATTCATCTCAAGTGGCTTTAAGAAGCAATGTAATTCCCACTAAAAGAACAAGAGTTCTTTGAACCTGATGACAGGTCTGGTTGATTACAGGTCTGTGGCAGGGAATGTACACAGAAGTGTACTGAGCGTAAAAAGAATGACTATAATTAATTGTAACACATTAGATACATACATGCATAAAGTCATATCAATAGAGATCTGTTAAAGGGGAGGACCAAAGCCAGCTAATAAACAGAGATGGACTGACAAAATAAGAAAACCACCATTTGACAACCTCCAATGTAATCATCAGTTCAAGGCAGGATCATCAAAAAAAAAGCCCAAACCATTAGGTGAACAGATTTTGGGGATATTTGCATAGATTTTTAATTGCAAAAAGGGAAGTGAATCTTTACAATGTCTCTGTCTTAACCGAGGGGCCAAAATTAGCATAACTAATAGTGGGACCATCTGACATAGGAGCCTCCTGAGGTGATGCAATTTGAAATACACAATATCATCTAGAAATATTCTTATCAAAAATGTTTAATTTGAGGGGTGCCTGGGTGGCTCAGTTGTTGAGCGTCTGTCTTCAGCTCAGGTTGTGATCCCAGGGTCCTCGGATGGAGTCCTGCATCGGGCTCCCTGCTGGGCGGGAAGCCTGCTTCTCCCTCTCCCACTTCCCCTGCTTGTGTTCCCCTCTCGCTATGTATCTCTCTGTCAAATAAATAAATAAAATTGTTTAACTTGAATTTTATCAGGCTACTAGACCGTGCATGTCAATAGGAATATAATGTGAGCCACCTCTGTAATATTAAATTTTCTACTAGCCACATGAAGTAAAAAACAAACTAAAAAACCCACAGGTGAAATTTATTTAATATACTTAATTTAGCCCCAATATAAAAAATATTAGTATTTCAACATGTAATCAATATAAAAAATTAATATTTTACTTTTTTTTTGTAGTGAGTCTTCAAAATCCAGTGCGTTTTACACTTAAAGCACATTTCAATTCAGATGCTAAATTTTCATTGTAAATATTTGATCTGTATTGAGATTTCATAAAATTTACCAGTGAAAAAGTAGATTTGCATACCTAAGTTTTTCCAAACACACTTAAAATTTTTCCAATAAGGAAATTGAGCATGAATTTTAAATTTTAATTCAAATTATTTCCAGTGAAATTAAATGAAAATTTAGCCTCTCAGTTGCATTGGCCACACATATTTCAAGTGTACAACAACCACCTGAAGCTGGTGGCCACCATACTGGATGGTGCAACCCTAGGCTTCACTTCCAGTTTATAGAAAATAAAGGGGATAGTAAACCCACAAGTTAAATTATACGAAGAGATAACCCAGAATGTGGGACATTCTGCAAAACAACTCTCTTATTGGAGTTTCCAAAAATTCAGTGTCATAAGAAAAAATAAGATGGGGAGATTGTCCTAGACAAAGACTAAAGATACATAACAATCAAATGCAGTACTGGATGCTTGTTTGAAAACAAAAACAAAAGCATTGGAAATCAGGAAAACAATTGGGAAAAACTTCTCTAAACAACTGGGGAACTTTGAATACGTGCTACATTCTTTTTTTTTTTAAGTTTTTTTTTTTTTTTTAATTTGACAGACATGACAGAGAGAGAGCACAAGCACAAGCGGGGCAGTGGCAAGCAGAAAGAGAAGCGGGCAGAAGGAGGCTCCCCGCAGAGAACCCAATGCGGGACTCGATCCCAGGACCCTGGGATCAAGACCTGAGCCAAAGGCAGACGCTTAACCGACTGAGCCACCCAGGTGTCCCTATGTACTACATTCTACATGAATTAGGAATTATTGCTTATTTTCCCTGGGTGTGAAAATGGCATTATGATTATGTAGGAGATTATCTGTAGGAAAGATAATGATTCTAGTGGGAGAATAATTCTAGAAATGCAACTTTATCTAAACATCAAAGTTGACAGGAGAAAAAATATTTGGGGGCATGATGATCCCCAAATGTTTTATCTTCTAGGCAACCTTTTTCCAGGAAGCCATTAGAGGATAGAGTCCTCCAAAATGAGTAAGCCAACAAAGAGGAAGATGAGGAATTGAGGAGGCAGGTGATCACAGACAAGAGGTGATGAGAGTCTCCAGGATGATGGCTGGGCATCAGTCTGAGAAAGGAACCATTCTGAACTGGATCACGAAGAGGAAAGCTCCAGGAGAGATGTCTTCAAAACAAAACAAAACAAAACAAAACAAAACAAAAAAACCCTGACAGGCAGATTATACAATGTGTTTGACTACATGGTAGGAATTTTATCACTCTGTAGGATAATTCTGAGAGAAAAGTTAGTGATGGGTGCATTCAATGGTGTATTGGTAAACCATCTCTCTGAAGAGAAAGAAAGAAAAAAGCCATGATTTGTAGCATTTGTTGATTTTCATGGCATAAATACTTCCATTATAGCTTATTTTAAGCTACCAACACAAAGTCACTGAACAGAGTTGACAAGAGATGCCCACCATCAGCTCTCAAGAGCCATTACGAAAAAGAAATGAGCATATAATATTCACTTGTCCCAAGGACCAAATGAGTATTATATGCTTAAATTCAGATCATTTCTTATGCAGAAAAGAGCCAGTAAGACCTAGCTCCAACAAAATTAAGCAAATAAACAAATTAAGCAATTATTAACTCCAAAAAAATAAAAATAAAAATTTTCACAAGAAATGGAATCCTAGTACTCTACACGGCTCAGCCGTAGCAATGCCTACACTGAATGCTGGTTTAACACTGTTAAAATGTGATGCACCCATGTTGAGAGGATGCGGGGAAAGGGGTGGAAAAGAGAGCCAAATTGTCATTATTAATAGACAATGCCTAAAATTGAAAAATCAACGAATAAGAGAATGAGCATTTTATTTAAAAATATGAAAGTAAACTACCAGAATAAAGGGCCGAAAGAGATCCAAGTCGCCGTCTGTGGGGGGCAGAACTCCAAAGTAAAGTGAGGCAACTGCACTTCTGAGTCCATTCAGCTTAAACACGCTCGTGTGCACACATGCACACACGCATACACACATGCACACATGCATACACACACGCACACACACGCATACACAAATAGGAAAGACGAGGAGGAAAATTCAGACTTCTGGTTATAGAGGTCTGACAACACAACTTTTTACCACTCCTTTTTCCAAAACCTATTGAAATGAAAAAAGGAATATAAAAATAAACCAATACCTCTGCTGGAAAGACAGGAGAATGCACTAGCAGCGAACCAGGACCATAGCAATTTCCTGATAATACAGAGGAGCTGGGATCAGATTATTAAACCCAGTACACTAGATTTAAAAACAACTCCACACAAGCCTAAGAGAGAACCTCAAAAGGTGAGTTTGGCCAGCACAGCCCTGCCAAACTCCTAAAATGATATTCCCAATTTCCTCCCACCAGCAGATGACTATCACTCTCTAGGATGGGATTACTGATACTGGACACTCTCTCCCAGCTGAGAAAATGAAAGCACAGACTCTGGGCAGTGAGCCAGAGGATTTATAGCCACCACGAGGGAAGAACAGGTAGAGAAGAGTTTTTCCGGTTCCACTCCACCCACGATGCTGAAGTACCACCTCATTCAGGGCGCTATCCACTGCCAAACAAACAGGGAGTCTTACAACAGACTGCCTGGTTGACAGAGCAAAGCACCATGGTGGGAAGAAGGCTGAACAGGTCCAGTATCATGGTTCCTTGTATCATGATTCCTTGCCGTCACTGTTATCCTGAAGAGTCACTTTCCTCTTTACTTCTTGCTTCTGAAACCCCCGGAACTGTCCTGGATGCTGTCCTTTTCAAGACCTGGCTCTTCAACTTTTTATCATTTCAGTGAGTTTCTCCACATCTTCCCAGTACATTTCTTGTTTAAGCTAATTAGAGTCTGTTGCTGGCAATGAAAAAACCCTTACCATACAAAAAGATGGTTGAATGATAATAAGATTAATTTTACACTATTAATAATTTCTATATACATATATTTATACTATATCCATTATACTATTATAATTAATGACCTTAACTTAATACTAATACAGAGAACACACTGTTTTCAAATACCTATGGGACATGTACAAAACGATCTCTTAGGTAACACACACACAAATCAATAAATTACAAAAAGTAGAAATACATGTGCCACAGTGTAAAACCAAAAAACAAAATTCCAAAACCATATCCACACTTAGTTACTTGGAAAGAAAAGCTGAAACTATTAAAATTTTAAGAAAAAAGGGTAATAGGAACATTGCCTGTCAAAATCTAGGACATAACATGGGATAAAATGATTCTCAGAGGAAATTTTATAACCTTAAACACATTCATTTGAAACCAAGAAAGATGGAGAATAAGTGAACTAAGGAGTCAATTCAAAAAGCTAGAAAAAAGATAACAAAATAATTTTTTTTAAAAGATTTTATTTGTCAGAGAGAACACAAGCAGGGGGAAAAGCAGACTCCCCACTGAGCAGGGAGCCCAATGTGGGACTCAATTCCAGGACCCCGGGATCATGACCTGAGCCAAAGGCAGATGCTTAACCGACTGGGCCACCCAGGCGTCCCACAAAATAAAATTTTTAAAGAACAAGATACGAGGTAAATAGAAAAAATGTAAAATAAAAAATAAAATGGATAAAATAAATAATCTTGGTCAATAATACCAAAAGTTGGTCTTTTAAGAAGTAAGACATAAATGATTAAAATTACTAATGAGGGGCGCCTAGGTGGCTCAGTCTTTAAGCGGCTGCCTTCTGCTCAGGTCATGATCCCGGGGTCCTGGGATTGAGCCCCATATCGGGCTCCCTGCTCTGCAGGAAGCCTGCTTCTCCCTCTCCCACTCCCCCTGCTTGTATTCCCTCTCTCACTGTGTCTGTCAAATAAATAAAATCTTTAAAAAAAAGTAAATAAATAAAATTATTAATGAGAAAGGGAGCATATGAAGATAATTTCAAAATTATCAGAGCATTTTAAATTATGGGAGTCAAGATGATGCGGGAGAGCTAGTTTCTTGTCTCACGGAGTCGAAGAATGAATCTCGCAGACAATGGAGAGTGAGTAAAGCAATAGAAGTTTATTAAGTGAAGGTACAGAAAAAGCTCTCAAGAGTGAGAGGGGTCCCCACAGGGTTGCCAACGAGGGCCTTTAGGATTGGTCTTTTATAGAAAGCTAACCAGGGAACTTAAATCCTTTTAACAATCTCTATTGATAACACCTTCAATGGTTTACTTCCTTTTTAGGGTCTGGTTATTCTTTGTTGGTCACAGGTGATTATCATAAAGACACCTACCCCACACACCTAGGCCAGGGTGGTCCGCCCTAGGGTAGGGTGGTCAGATTTGTCCCCATATCTCTGGTTTCCCCACACCTCCATGTTTTGGGATTTCTGTGAGCCTGATCACATAGCCCCCTATCTATCTCTCCCTACCTAGCCCGCCTGTTCCTTACTCAGAGGTTTACAAGCAAGACACAAAATGAAAAGTCATAAAAAAAAGTTGACAGATTAGACTCCATTTTTTAAAAAGTTAAAAAGAAAGTCTCTATAAACAAAATTAACAAATGAAATAGAAATAACTGTTATGAGTTAAAAGCCTAAACTGTAAAGAGCTGCTATAAACTAATAAGGAAATCACATACACAATATCTTTAATGCACAAAACTGATACACAAATTCTTGGAAAAAGAATGACCAATCAACATTTGTAAGAACGTCACCCATACTAGTAATCAGTAAAGTTTAAAGCAGTTAAGATTGCACTTTTCACCCATCAGATCAGCAGAAATTTTATTTTTAAAGATTTTATTTATTTGACAGAGAAAGACACAGCAAGAGAGGGAACACAAGCAAGGAGTGGGAGAGGGAAAAGCAGGCCTCCCTTGGAGCAGGGAGCCTGATGTGGGGCTCGATCCCAGGACCCTGGGATCATGACCCCAGCAGAAGGCAGCTGCTTAACCACCCAGGCGCCCTCCGCAGAAATTTTAAAACATAACAAGCAGTGTTAAAGTTAAAAGAGGAAACAGGCACTCTCATACCCTCTCACTGGGAATGTAAATTGGTAGTATTTTGGAGGACCATTTAGCAGTAGGTATTCAATTTTTTTTTTTTTTAAAGATTTTATTTATTTATTTGACAGAGAGAGAGATAGCGAGAGCAGGAACACAAGCGGGGGGGTGGAAGAGGGAGAAGCAGGCTTCCCGCCAAGCAGGGAGCCCGATGTGGGACTCGATCCCAGGACCCTGGGATCATGACCTGAGCCGAAGGCAGACGCTTAATGACTGAGCCACCCAGATGCCCGGTATTCAATTTTTTAATGTGATCCCTTCGATCAGGCCACTTCCAGAAATCCATCCTACAGAAATATTCGAACATGTGCACAGAGATAGAAGCCTAAAGATGCTTCTAAAGATTTGGGGGAGGGGGGGACGGGATTAGTGGAAAAAAAAAAAAACCACGGAAATTTTCCCTATGTCAGTCAGAAGGAAGATGAGGTTTGATGAAGGCCTGACGATCGGCCTTTAAAATGAGTAAGAAAATCTACAGGTACTTGCATGAAAAAATTGCCAACAGTGTTAAATGATAAAAAGTACTGAATGCAAATCACATAGTGCATAATTAGACATATGTGTATCATAGACAGACATATACGTACGCATGAAGAGGGGCAGATATGGCATGAAGAGACTTCCGCTTTTTAATCCTAAATACCAACATTGTTTCAGTGAAAAAAAAAGAACAGTCTGGAAAAAGACACATCAAAACTGGTGAGTGTACCTTAGGGGACAAGGGAGGGATCAGAGTGGAAAAAATGTTTTACTTTCCATTCTCTGTAAACTGTGAAAAACAAACATGCAAGTATTACGCAATTTTGTGAAAATAAAACTTTTAATAGAAATAACATAAAAATACTTTTCAATGACAATGAGTTTACAATTTTTACAAACATAGGTTTACAATCTTCAAAGGCACAATAAGAAACAAAACAGGATGATTTTTATGTGTCACCTGGTACTTTTCCATTTCTCCTTCCTTTACAACGTGATTAGGAACTACTGCACAACAACTCCTCCCTCCTTTATGGAATATTACCTTCCAGAACCAGAGCTCAAAGCACCGTAGCGCGGGAGTGCCGGGGAGAACGCCCCCTCCCCCGAGCGGGAATCGCAGGGGTGGGTGCCTCTTCCTCCGGGCCCTAGGACGTGCAACAGCAGTCTGTACGAACCGTCCGAGCTCCCCCGAGCAACTCACTTGGCAAACCCGATCGTCAGCCACGCTCGAGTCCTCCACCGTGCACCGCACCCGGACGGCAGAAAGGTGCCAGGTGAAGGCGAGGTTGCGAGCCGGAACCAGGCGACCGGGACTGCCACATGGCCGCCGCGCACGCCGCGTAGACGCAAGCCGAGGCGCGCACCGGGAAGGGCACAAAGGCTGGCCGTGCGACATAAGGTGCAGAGGACGGGAGGCGAGCGGCCATGGCGGGGCACTCACCAGAGGGTGGACAAAAGGCACGGGGAAGGGCCACCGCCCGGCCTCTTCCGCCCCGGACCCCCTGTCCGCACCCTCCCTCCCACCCCGCTCGGGCCCGCACGCCCTGACGCACGTCCGCCCATGAGCGCTCCCTCCATTTTGTCCCCAGTCTCCTTCGGGCGAGCGGGGCGGCGCTATTTTTAAAGCCGCTAAGTCATGGACCGAAAAGGGGAGGCGGCGAGGCGGGCGCGGGACCACGAAGTGCACGGGGCTGGCGCTCGGGGTTACTCGACTGCCGGCGCCGGGTGGAGCTGCAGGAGGCACCGAGGGCTCGTCCTGGGGCCGGAAGGACAAAGGACACGCAGGGGCCGCGGGCCGCGAGGGAGCGCAGGCCAACTTCCGGGCCGGTGGGCCAGGGCTCGGGGC